CCGCCCCTGCCGCGGCTACTGCACACAATTGGTGCCGCGGGCCGAATGGTAACTGCCCGACCCTTCTTGGCTCCCGTCCTCTTCATGAGTCCCCTCACTCACCCGCTGATTTGGCCTGCGAACCCCATTGCTTGCAGGTTCTGCTCACAACATACCAGGTCCGCAGCGCCCCCCAGGACGCCCCGACAATCCAGGGGCGCCTGCAGGACGCCGCCGCGAACGCCAACGCGGGGCTGTACGCCGCCCTGCAGGCCAACGGGGTCCCGCTTCGGCCAACTTTCTCTTTCACCGGCATCAAGGGTGCTGGCGGCAGCAGCGGCGGCGGCAGCGGCGGCGGTGGCGGGCTGAGCACCGGCGCGATCGCGGGCATCGCGGTCGGCGCGGCCGTCGGAGGGCTGCTGCTGCTGGCGGGGATTGTGTACCTCGTGCTCCGCCGCCGAAAGTCAAAGCCCAATCCGGCGTACGAGGCAAACAAGGGCAAGGCGCCCGCCGCGGCGCCGGTGGAGGTCGCGGCGGAGGAGGGGGCCGTCCCGGGCGGCAAGGCGGCCGGCGCGGCGCCTGCGGCTGTTTCCGACGCCAATGGAGCTGGGCAGCCCAGAGACGCATGATGCGGGGCCCAGCCAATCGCACGGGTCTTGGGGTGCTGCGTTTGCGCGTTTGCAAAGCGTGCATTGGGGGCGTTGGAGTGCCCAACAGCTTGCAAAACACGGCTCGCAACAGGGTAACGCCCATGTTGTTGGGGTTTTAATTGATTAGGAACTGCCATGCCGCTGACGTGACGGCTGAAACATTTCACTACTAATCAGCACGGCCAGGGTGTGCGGCTGGCCGGGTTGCCACATCAGCAATCAGCTGCCACCAGGTGGTTGGGCTGCTGCCAAGCAACACACGGCGCGCTCTGCCCTTTTCACCTTGCGGCCCTGCTTTGGCTGGATTATACCGGCACGGTGATGGCACCATAATTCCTGGAATGAACTTGCAACGGCAGTGTAAGGACGTGCCGCTTGAGGTGCGATTGCCGACTTGCAGCAGGCCGCCCCAAGCATGACGGCGCTTGTGGTGTGCATGCAGCTGTGAATCCCCACAGTGTGTGCGGATGGCCTGCCGTCAGCGTGCAGCAACCAAGGTGGGCAGTGCGTACATCGCATGCTGTGCCCTGTGTAGCGTCCTGCGTTTGCATGAGCGGCGACTGTTGCAGCTGCCTTGCTGACGCGCCAACCTGCACATCCTCAACGCCTTGCACATGGTAGCATGGTCATAGGTAGCGCGAGCGCTGGGCCTGACTGGCTGCGCCGGTGGCATGCATGGCAAGCGGTGCATTGCGTGAACTCGAAACATCATGCGTCGCCGACGCGTGGTGCTGCACAGCTGAGTGTCCAGTCCCTGTGCTGCAACATATTGAGTCGGTTGTGGTGGTTGATCAGGCAGGCAAGCAAGATTCTTGATCAGCCCCTTGAACACTGTGTCTCCACAAACACCCCCGGCACAGCAAGAACCAGGGCATCCCCGTCACTCTGGCTGCCCGCTGGCGGCACACAGTTTGAATTTGGAAGGCCCGACGACACAATCTCTTGTGTGGCTGTTAGGAGTGCTACTTGCCGCTTCCTTGTGCAAGTGAAAAATTCATCACATGTTCTCTGCGTTCGGCTTCTTTGAACGTAGGTTGGGCTTGTTTAGCGATCTGGCTTGCTAAAACTGTATAAGCGCAATCAATAAGGGGATTGACAAGCCACAAATCATCTCAGAGGCGTGGTGTGCGGGTTGCGGCAAGATTGTGTGGCAGCGCGCCTTGGCAGGCAGCGCAGTGTCCCAGGCCGCGCCTGCGCCGCTTCGCCCAATCGGCAGCGCTCTATGACAGCAGCGTAATGGCAGATGAGCTTGATGACAGCATATTTACCGCTCTTGATGCGTTGGAGTCACAGCGGGTGAGTGGATCGTGGCTCTTGCAGACAATTTGAATTTCAGCAAAGACTAGCACTCAACGACGTGCTTTGCATGATTTGCTGCGCTGTTATTGCGCCCCACCAGTATAGGCCTTGCCCTGGTGGTGGCCAAAATTTTCTGACAATTGCTATTAGGGAGATCCACCCACGCAGCTTGAAGGCATGCGCACACACGGCAATGCGGGATCGCGTTTCAAACACACCCAACAGCAGGCCCCGCAGCACGCGGTGCCAGGGTCGCAGCAGCATCAGCAGCCGCGGCAGCAGCAGCAGTACCAGCACAAGCAGCAGCAGCCGCAGAAGCAGCAGCCATGGCAGCCCCTCGCGCCTCAACATCAGCAGCCGCCACGCTCTTGGCAACAGGTGCAGCCCACTCTCGTCTCCGATGGTGCGTACCCAGGGTCTGCTGCCGCAAATCCTGGGCCTTCCGTGCGATCGCTGTTCTGCCGCCAAGCTCTGCAGGGGCAGGCAGCACCCATAGTCTCGCAGCAGCCTTGGCAGGGCAACGGCATGGTACAGCAGCAACAGCAGCAGCAGCCGCAGCAGCAGCATCAGCAGCATCAGCAACATTCACAAATGCAGCAGCAGCAGCAACAGGCACATACGCAGCAGCAGTACCAGCAGCAGCTGCACCAGCAGCAACAGCAACAGCAGCAGCAGCAACTGCAGCCACGGCAGCACCAATGGCAGCACTGGCATGGCCCAGGCGGCGGGGCAAGTCAGCAGCAGCAGCAGCAGCAACCCACAGGTTGGCAGCAGCAACAGCAGCAGAAGCAGCAGCAGGCACGGACGGGTGGTGGGGGCCCCCTGAATGCGATGATGCAACCCCAGGTGCAGCAGTGGAGCAGTGGCCCATTGCCCATGGCGGGACAGCAGCAGCAGCAGCAGCAGCAGCAGCAGCAGCAGCAGCAGCAGCCACACATAAGCAGACATGCGCCGCTTGCAGGGTCAGCCTCCACCGCAGCCTCCACCGCCACTGCCACCATCCCCGGCAGCGGCCCCGGGCCTGGTGCTGCCCCTGGCGCGCCCGCGCCGCCCGGCGGGGCGTCCAGCGGAGGCGGCGCCGCGGCGGCTGGCGGCGGCGGGGCAAGGAGCGGGGGCATGGTGACGGTGCGGTACAGCGCCAGCCTCAAGCTCGACGCAAACCAGCGCATCAAGGTGGGCGGCGGCGCGGCGCGGGCGGCCACGATGTGACGCGAATGCTGGGCCGACGTGCCACGCTCGTGACTGCTTTGAGCTGGAGGATGGTGATAGTCCTTGTTTGTCCAGGGCAACCTGGACACTGGCAGTCTCCATTGCTGCTTGAGCACGACGCAAGCCAGATGGCACCACTGATGGCACCACTGAGTGCACGAGCCCCTCGCACCACCTGGCACAGGTGGAGTTGAGCGGCCCTCACGACAGCATCAAGGAGACCTTTGCCCCCATCCAAGGCGCGCTGGAGCTTCCGTCCAAGGTGCGGCTGGGAATGGGCCGCGCCTCTGCCGCCGCAAGGCGGGCCCGCCCTGTCTTTCGCGGTCTTGGACGCCCATGTGGGATGCAGCCCCACCACGAAGCTGTGTGCTTGACATGTGCATTCCTGTGCAGATCTGTCATTTGCACTCACTCAGGCGCACAACATGCACATGCATGCACATGCATGCACATGATCAACTGTGCTGACACACACGCCACCAAAAAGATGAATGGTGCGCATGCGCGCCCATGCGCGCGCGCGCACACACACACACACACACACACACACACTCACACACTAACACACGTGCGCGCGCGAGGGCAGGTGCGTGTTTGCGTGCACGCACACGCACACACATATGCACAATCACAAATACAGATATACACGCAAATGCACACACACACACACACTCATGAAACTCAACACCGCCAGGGCTGGCGGCCCGTGTGGTCGTTCCCAATGGAGCGTCTGAGGGAGGTGGAGGCAGCCATGAAGGGCATGCAGGTGTGGTGTGGGGCACCACTCATCACACCACGCAGCCTTGCCCCATGTATCTGGCCCCTCTGCCCAGCGGCCCGCTGCCGCAGGCCCCGGCCGATTTGGCACCCCGCGGACTTGTGCCGCTCTGCGCAAGCGCCTCGCCCGGCCGCTCCACAACGCGGCTGCGACGCCTGCCAATCCGCCGGCCTCCGCCCGCGCCCGCGCGCCGCGCCGCCCCCCGGTGCCTACGCGCGAGCCGCCCCACCGCACCCGTTCGCGTGGCTCTTGAAACCCTGCCCCCCCCGCCTCCTGGGTGACGCTGCAGGGCCTGGCGCTGAACGTGGACCCGCTACCCCAGGTGGTGCACAAGGTGCTGACCACCGCCGCGCGGCAGCCAGACGACAGCGCGCGCTACGACCGGCTGCAGGAGGTGCGGGCAAGAGCGTGTGGGATCGTGTGCGTGTAGGGTACATGGAACGCGCGTCTATGTATGTGCGTAGGTGTGTGAGGTCTGCAGCAAGCACAATGCTAGTAACGGAGGTACGCGTTTCCGGATGTGGTGTCAGCTGACGCGCTACGCTGTGACCACCCATGGTGGGCCGTGCTGCCTGGGGGGGGGGCGCAGGGGTGGTGTCCAGGCTGCTGCTGCACGCCGAGTTGCTGCGCGTGGCACTACGCCGTCGCGCTGCTCGTTCATTCGCTTGCCAATGCCGCGCAGGTGGTGCTGGGACCTGATGAGACGCTGGACGACCGAATGATGCCCTTTCAGGTGTGATGGGTGGGGTGAGGGTCGGATATGGGTGTGAAGGGCCCGGGGTTGTGAAAATTTGAAAAAGACTGAGTCAGATACTGAGAGAGCAAGGGGATGACGAAACACGCTAGGGACTTGGGCAGGGGGACGGCAGCCACGTGTCTATGTTAGTGTGTGTGTAAGGGGGCCTGTGTTGGTGCTGGATGACCGCATGACGCCCTGCCAGCCGCGCTTGAGGAGGGGCATGGAGTTTGGAAGTGAAGGCGGGGCCAGCCAAAAGCAGACATCAAGGGACAGCTGCGGAGTGGTGTGTGGTGGCCGCAGGCGGAGGGGCAGGCGCGTGTCCTCGACCTGGCGTGAGCCGGCGCCCCATGTCAGGGCGTGGTCGCTCGCTCACGCCCCTCTCGACCCCCTGTCGGACTTGAATGACTGCCGGCTGCAGCGCGAGGGCGTCAAATTTGGCCTGGCGCGCGGCGGACGCGTCCTGGTAAGCCGCATTCAGCAAGCTCGCGTGCATGTGTGTGTGTGTGCGTGTGTGCGTGTCTGTGTCTTTGTGTATGTTGCGTTGGGGCGAGATCGGCGAATTTCTTCGCGGGGGCTGCGATGGGGGCGCGTCGAGGCACGGCGTGCTGGACCGCTGTCATATGCTGGCAGGACGAGCGCAGGTACACACACACACACACACACACACACACACACATACACACACACACACACACATACACACACACACGGATCCGGCTGCCAAGCGCACGCTGGGGGTCCCCTGCCTGCCCCTGCAGCCCGTCCCTTCCCCCGTCCGCTGAGCAGCAAACGCGGCCCTTGGCGCCCCCCAGGTGGGCGACGAGATGGGCCTTGGCAAGACGGTGCAGGCGTGCGCGCTGCTGTGGTGCTACCGGGACGAGTGGCCGGCGCTGATCGTGGCGCCATCCTCGCTCAGGCGCGCAGGGGAGGGGGGCCCGGTGGGAGAGAGCGAGGCGTCTGCAAGCGCGCGAGCCGGTGGACAAGTTTTTGCCTGGTCGCGAGCCCCCGGGCCAATGTCCACCGCCCCCCCCCCCCCCCCCC